TTCTTTCTTTCTTTCTTTCTTTCTTTCTTTCTTTCTTTCTTTCTTTCTTTCTTTCTTTCTTCTTTCTTTCTCTCCCTCTCTCTCTCTCTCTCTCTCTCTCTCTCTCTCTCTCTCTCTCTCTCTCTCTCTCTTTCTCTCTTTCTTTCTTTTAACAGGGTCTTGCTGTGTAGCCCAGGCTGGCCTGGCATTCACAGTGATTCTCCTGTCTCAGCTTCCTAAGTTCTGAGATTACAGATGTGCACCATCACACCTGGCTTGGACTGGTTTTTCAAAAATTGCTTTTGTATAAAAAGACTTCCATCTCATAGTATATATTATCTCTTGCTGTTGCTATTAGTTTTGTTCTGAAGAAAAATAACCATGGAACCTGGAGAATTGTGTCCAGTAGGAGGAGATTATAGGAGAACGTGCATTATTGTGTGTTGTCTGTGTTACAAATGATATGCATAGGGCTGAGAATTTGGTCTGTACAGGCGGCAGCATTTTGAGGGAGGTTGTATGTCACTGTGGAAGCTGGTAGGCCGGATTTCTTGCCATCTCAAGACCTCAGGGCTGTGGAAATAAGCAAAGACCAACCAAATGAGAAAGGTGTTTTTATTTACAGCTGCAAGTTGGCCACTACCACTTGTGTTTGGGCAGTGGAAGCTTGAAGGCCAGCCAAGGAGCAGGAAAGCCTTCTAGTGGAGAGAGGGGTGCCTCCAGTGAGCCCCACACTCAGCAGAAGCCGGCACCCGTCCTCTGCTGAGGAGCACATTTGGCTTCCTTGGCTCTGGTTGTTCTTATGTGGGAAACAGGGCTGTGAGTTAGAGAAGCTTTCAGTTATTGATCAACTCCTGGTTGCTTGGGACCAGTTGCTATGTGACTTATTGCTTAGCCTTCTGGACTGTCACTGGAGTCAGCCGTCTGGCCTCCTGAAACCCGGCTTATAGCAGGCTCTCTTTCTTGGTTGTTGTGGATAATGGCATAGATTTTCTGTGCAGGTGGGTCAAAGTTTTCTGTTGCTGCTGCTGGTTTTCAATTTTAATTTTTATGAGTCCATATTTGTGGTGCATAAGGATCGCAGTCCTCATGGGGAGCGGGTCCCTGCGTGCAGCACCTCTCAATTCTTTTCTCCCCTCCCCCACCCCTCCCCTTAGGCTGGGAATACGGGTCGGTAGGAGAAGGATACATCTGAGCACACATTATTCTGTGCGCTTTCCTGGGGAGGCGTCCGTCTTTGCTCTCCAGCCCTTGAATTGATTGCATGAAGCCTACCCACACTGTGCAGCTTCACCTCCTGCACCCGGAGTCTGCTTCAACAGTAGTCATACTCACAACCATTTTTGCAGCAGCATCTAGCCTGGTGTTTGACCAAACATCCGGCACCACAGCTGACGTGAAAATTGACCATCACAGCTGCCGTAGGCATCCTTGGTTTCCACCTGAGACGGCACCACCGGGAGGACCAGGGTTTAGGAAGTCGATCCCCACCTTATTCAGTTACGGCAGGGCTGTCATTCTCAGCCTTGCTGTTGGGCAGCTCCACTTTGAATTCAATCATCCCCTCGGCTTGAGCCGGCTAAGTCCCTGCATGACTGTCTGGGAAAGCGGGGGCCACTGTGACCCCCAAAACAACCGAAGCACATTAAGATGTTTTGCACCTGCACAAAGCAGCCGCCTCTCTATATAAAATGTTTTAAAGAAATTCATGAATGCAGATACATTTCTTTCAGTTTAATGAACCAAATACATTTGTTGATGATTGTAATAATTTTTAATTGGCACGAATACTATTGATTAATATTCGTATTTGGGTAGTCACTCTTCAAATTCAAGCAACTAGCTAGACTTTGTGTAAATTTCATCAAAAGACCGATAACAGCGAGTAGACCCGTTGTACCACCAGTGGTCCAAGCCGTCACCACTGTGTCCACGCTCGCAGGGATGTGTGAACCTGCACTCTGCTCTTCGGACAGCTGCTTCCGCAAGAAGGGGACACCCCTGGGAGCCACATCTCCGGTCAGGGCCCATGGTCAGACATCGGGAACACCATGTCCCGGTTGCTTTCTAGGGCCCAAGATGCAAAATTCTAGTGTTGGGTGCCCCAAAATCACTGTTGAATTCAGCAAGTGAGAGTGCATCGCGCCAAGCCCTGTCGGCCCTGTCTCTGTCATTTTCTTCAGACATTTCCGAGAACGTTTTCCTGGAGTTCACACAGTAGGACAAGCGTGTTTCTTCTGCTCCAGACTCAGTTTGCCTGTGTCCGTATCCCAGAGAGCTGACTTCCAGCCTTCCAATTCATGGCATAAAAGGAGCAAAATCTACTCTTTTCAGCATCCTTGTCCATTTCCTTGCAGTTTTCCAGTGAATTCTGTTATAGATGAAGTGGATAAGATGATCCATTATTTTCAAATTTTACACCAAAAACTGCCTGCTCTGCTCTGTGAAGGGAAGCTCAAAAAACAATAATGAGATCTGAAATATATTTTTTTTAGAAATTAAGACATCTTAGTCTTAAATGCCCCGATTCCTCCAAGGAGTCAGGAACAGCCCAGAACTACAACGCTTTTTTGCACAGAAATGAAATCTCAGTAGTATGTTTGTAACATGAAAATCATAGGATTACTTAATTACTCGGGCAGACCTGAACTTCAGAGGAAAGAGAAAAAAGGTAAAGATTACGATACTCTTTAGAAAAACCCAAAGGGGAACATAAATGCTTCGTCACACATCTCTCAGGCCAGTGTTGAAAGAAATAAAACGTCATGAACATGATTAATGTTGTCATCACGGAGGAAAAGAG